CCCCCCCCCCCCCCCCCCCCCCCCCGATCCATGCACTTGACTGATTGGAACTGGTGTTACTAAGCAGCTCATAGAAGGTACGTTTTGCATCCCCCAAAAAAAAGAAAAAAAAAAAAAAAAAAAGACAAAGAAGAAAAAAACAGTTTCAAGACCTCTTGCCACGGTTTATCCCCTGATTTTTTTGTTTTTCTCACAAACAAGTGAAAAGGGGACCAAAACGTCGAGTGTCCGAGTCGTGTTTTGGCGTCCAGATCTGGTGCACACCAAACGGGTCGCTGCACGGTATAGTCATCTTAATGCACGCCTACCTTCAGGGGGTACTGCACCCTGATGGACGAACGGAGCTACCTAATACTCGGGCCTCCAGTCGGTCGGGGGCCATAGGGCTCAGTCCACATGCATAGCGTAGGTATGCAGACAAATACTATAAAAAAACTTTCTGGATACCTGTACACTACCTTGTGTAGGCATGTGTGCATGAGCAGCGTGCCTAGAGGAACAAATACTTCAGATACTGCAGCCGACAGACTTCCAAGTTACCAGGTAGTACACGGCATATCCCAGTTTTGTACCGGCCTTGCATGTGCCTACCTCTACCTGACCACAGCAAGCCGTAGTCAAATCGAATTCAAATGACCAACTGTTCAATGTTCGCGTGTAATTTTCGGACTTCACTACATACCACTCGGCTGCTTCGGTACTGCTTCGGTACTGCAACCAAATACTGATGCTGATGCTGCGCCCGGGATTGTACTGCATACCTACACGCATGCAGGCAATATACATACCTCTTACGTGACTGGAGATGTCGATTTATTTGGTTTAGAGGTTACAGTTGATGAGAGTGCGGGGATGAATGGACCAGATCTACCTTTACGAAATGATTCAAGGACACTGCAGCACACTCGGCACGGGACACGAGCAAGTGAGCATAGTTCATCTTTGCCAGGCGAGCAAAAAAACCACCCGGTCACCAGCCAAGATCAGTAAAGTAAAGGCAACAAGTAATTTGACACGTAGCCTGGTGAATTCCCATAACGAACCCCATTGCCATCGTGCGTGCTATCATCCATCATCCATTGCTCTGCCGTTCTAAAGGGGTAATCGCATAAACTACAAGCAACCAAGCATCAAGCCATCATAGCAATCAATACCAACCGAACCGGGAAAAGCCCACACCCATAGACGTAACCTTACAAGCATGTTATCCGAACAAAATAATAAAACAAGAAAAACGAAAGCCAAGCAGGTATCATGACCCATCCATTCATCCATCTTCATCGTTCACCCCTCATCATTCCCACCTCACTTTCCAACCTTTTTCCCCTTCTTCGGACTCGCCCTAGGAATCCCCGAAATAGCCGAATCCTTGCTCATCTTACTAGCCTTGGACATCTTTGAACTCGCCACACTCATGACCGACGCACTCGGCGCAATCGACGGCGCGCTAACACTACTGCGCCCCGTCCTGCTTGTGCCCGTGGTACCAGTCATGCCCGAAATGGCACTACCCCTCTCAGTCCAGTCGTCTTCACTATCGTCGCCTGTTTCGTAGTCCGAGTAGTTGTCGTCTTCGTCATCTTGGTCGTGGTCCTGGCTATACTGGCTTTCTCCGTCGTCATCTCGACTGCCATTTGAGCGACCGGATCGAGCCGAACGAGGGCCGGAGCGGGAAGAGGAAGTGATGACCGTCGTGCCCTGGGAGGAGCGACGTAGAGTGGCTGTTTCGTCCGCCTCAGTTTCAGTCTCGGTTTCGTTGTGGTCTTCGTCGCCGCCGTAACGGGAAGAGGACTCGGTGCGCGCGTCGTCGTCGACGTGAACCATGTCCTCATCTGACCCGGAGCGCACATCAACTGGTGGAGTAGCGGTGTCATACCCCTCCTCGTCCTCATCATCCGTGTCCTTCAGGGAGACGTCTCTATCCTCTTTCGATAGACCACCATATCCCTTCGCCGTGGACTTTGAGCTCGTCGTCGCCCAACTCCCCTTTCGCTCTCTAGCCTTAGGTCTCGAAGTCCCGGAAGTATCGGCATCACCATGATGAGCAGCCACCGCCGCCTTGACCGCCGCGACACCACCACCGCCAGCCCCGTTCCTAACGCTATTGCTGCGCTTGATGCTACCGCCCAGCAGAGCTCCGCTGACCATTTGACTGAGTGACAGAATCCGTCTGTTAGACGCCGACGATCCCGCACCCGTGCCCATCTTAGGGGTTCTGGTCTTGGCGTTGATAGCAGCCATGTTGAGTGCCGACGTGGGCTGTCTTGACTCCATGCGTGAAACGACGCTGGGAGCGCGGGTGGACATTTGCGAGGGGACGCGCTTGCGGTTCATTGACTCCCGACCGACGCCCGTGGTGAAGCGCTTGCCTTTGGCCATGAGAAGTAAGCGTGAATGGTCCATGACTCCCTCGAGGATACGGCGCTCGAGCGTTTCGGCGCGGGTTTCCATCTCGTGGAGCTCTTCTCTTCGGAGGCGGAGGGCAGTGTCGAGGGAGGACAAGTCCGCCGTAAGTCTGGATTTCTTGCGCACCAGCTCCTCTTGCTCCCCGCGGAGCTCAACAAGGTTGTGTTTAATACCCTGCTGCTCAGCCCTCAAGTCAGCCAAGAACTGCTCCTTAAGTTTGTCATGCTCCTTGCGCAGTGCCTCGTTGCGTTCCTTAAGGCGACACTCCTCCTCCATCAGGTTAGCGAGCAGATCCACCTTCAGCTTCTCCTGCTCTTCACGGAAGATTGCCTTCATTTCTTCTTGCTCTTCCCGCAGGCTGGCGTTGATCTCCTTGAGACGCCTCTCTTCCTCCTTGAAAGCGGCAAGGAAAGAGCTCCTAAGTTCTTTCTGCTCTTGCCTGAGACCTTCGTTGACTTCCTTGAGCAAAGACTCCTCCTCGCGCAAATTCTTGAGGAACTTATCCTTGAGAACTTGCTGCTCTTCTCGTAAAGCATCGTTCGACTCCTTCAGGCGGGCTTCTTCATCCTTCAAAACGGCAAGGAAGCTCCGCTTGAGCGACTCGTGCTCGGCTTTGAGGGCGGAATTGAGCTCGATCAGACGGTCGCGC